GAAGATGACGCTCATGGTTTTGGGAGGAGATGCCTTGTAGGTGGAAATCTTCAAAATTAATGAGCAATTATCTTACCATGACATTATGGTAGAAACCAACGTCAACCAAAACAAAGCCACAAATAACACCATCAAAAGACAATCTACAAATATCTGTAGCTTTGTTAGCTTCTTAAACCTAAGGACGATCTAGCTTCAGTGCAAGTTAAGTGTCGCCTCGAAAAGGGCTAACTAAAAGAAAGGGAGGACTGGACTTATAACTTCAATGGTACGAAACCGGCAGATTATAGAATAGTGATTGAAGGCAATACAAGAATAGCTGTAATAGCTTTCTCTACACTACATGCACGCTAATTTAGAAGCTAAATGAATATTCCTCAATAAAACATTGCAGATATGAATCTTTGTTCACATGTTTTCAAGTGGTTCTCACAATTTGACAACTTTTAGGTGACTAGATGGCCGATAAGTTTTCTTTTACACTCAGTTCTTATTATATAAAGAAGTTATATAATAGTTATTTCGATTCTGCATGACTGAACCACGAGTGAATATATAGTGAAGACCTTATTATTTTTTTTTTAATTTAAATCTCGAGATACAAAAAAAATCAATTGATATCTCTCTTAGTTTCCGTCCATAATTCAAATGATATCAGCAAAATTTTACTCAGCGAATACAAACTTCACCGTAGATTTGTAGATCAACTGGCTTATATAATATCTCCCCTGAAACTGAAATCTATTCAGTCGAAAGTGCATTGCCCGTTTCGAAAAAAATATCAATAAGGACTTCATTTGCAAATTCAAGCAGTCATATTCAGACTAGCACTCTTACCATTGAAAGTGAGAAGTCTTCAGTTTCTTCTTCAGACGGACATTAACAACCACGGGTGATCGCAGATGATCATCACTGAAGTCGAACAAAATATTTCAAGCGACTCAAAAGGTCTATTCAACATAAGGCAGCTGACAAAGCGGAAGAGTTCAAGCGGTTTGCCCACAAAACATTGCGAAATAGCTGAAACTTATATATTTAGTGCGCTTTTGTCAGAACTTGCTGGCCTCCCGCGAATCATTTCACAAGATAATATACTGAATAGTCCAAGTATTTTAATACTTAAAAATAAAAAAAATATGTCAATATCAAAAAAAAAAAATATGTCAATATCAACATCAATAGTCTCCTTCACGGTTACCTGCGCCATCTTGAAATGTAGCCGTGCCTTTACATCGAAGCGAGACAACCGTTGAGCGTGCAATGATAGAAACCTTGTTTCACACCTATAGACAATTATTCACAGGTATTTATCATTGCATGCTCAACGGTCGTCTCGCTTCGGTGCAAAGGCACGGCTACCTTTCAAGATGGCGCAGGTATCCGTGAAGGAGACTATTGCTACCTCAGTGAAAGACATTCGCGGTGGGTGAGAAATTTCCTTTATTAACGTTAACCTCATATCACGACAAAATCATCATTTCGATATTTATTGTCATCACTATTTCGTTTATGATTTTATTTGTAATCTACTCAATAAGTGTCGAGGGGCTTCACCAAGAAATTATGGTTGAAACTAACTTCAACTACCAAAACAGAGCCACAAACAACACCATCAAAAAACAATCGACAAATATTTGTAGCTTTGTAAGCTTSTGAAACTTTAGAACCAATTGAAACAAGGCAGGGAAAAATATGCTATCCAAACTAGCCGTTGTACCAAGTAGGGCTGTAAGCAAAGCAAAATGTGGGCCTACTCCTATTGACAAAATGAGAACTAACATGGAAAAGATGAGACGATCGGTGTATCAAAACCTAACATGAGAACAATGACGACTATCAAGACTACAAGGCTTAACAAACTGAGCCATGCAATTTGGGAAAATGCTTTGAGGAATACTGTTGGCAAAACTATTAATGTTGCAACACATGCCCAGTGGGACGTTGAGAAGGGGACTTGAGGAAACTGCTGCGACATTATAAAGAACTTCTAACAACGATATATGAAATATCTGCCATCAGTAAGACTAAATTGTTGGTGATCCACACTACAATTTTCAGTGGAGCCCACGAATGTTTTGCAATTTCCTCAAAGGTTAATCTTCTTTTCACGATTTGTCCAGTTTCATCTTTTTCGTCTATGCATTGGCTGAGGAGATTTGCTGTATATCCAAGTATGAAAGGTAGAAGGCAGATCCCAAGGAGAGCAGTGATTCCTCCTTCTCTTACAGCGTATGGAATGGCAAGGAATCCAACGCCTTCCATGTAGTTCAACAAGTTTAGGACCATCTTCCAAGTACTGATCTCTTTGGGTGACTGAATTTCCTGATCAGGGGTAGAAAGTTTGTCTCGAAGTGATAGTTTACCATTTTTTCCAAGATCCTCCAATTCTTCGTCTTTTTTGTTTGCAAGTATTTCGTATTTGTATTCCTTCGCTGACATCTGACGAAGTAAATGATATTTGAGAATTTTAATTCCTAAAGTTAGCAAGTAAAATTAAAAAGACGGCTTTTTATGTTAGTTTCCCTGTCTTTTCTCCAAATTCCACGCTATATTCTTGATAAAATGATTAAATAATAGCGAATCTCACACCGTAGCTTTAGCATATTTCACCGCCCTAACAGCTACATGTAGCTATTGTGTGGGGTGTATTGTGGATATCGCGAATGCCTAACTACAATCCATCACAAAAAAGTGTGTTTTAACATAAAGTTTGTCCGTATGGCCCTTTCCAAGAATATGATGCGATTTAATGAGATACGTTAACGTGTGATTTGTGCGCATATAACGGATGAACTGGATGACAAGATTCGATCCCAATTGATTTGGCCCTTAGAGAAAACTGACATTTCACATGTCAGTTCTTCCTCGTCAGTAATCATTGTTAACATTATTTCACTTGTGATATCAAAATTTATTTAAAGTCAAATGTAACACGTGGATTTGGAACTTACTGTTTTAAATATATACGATAGACACTAGAAACATTTACTTAATATAAAAAATTAATATGCATACAAGTTTTTACATGAAATCATTGGAAATGTGCCATTGGCAAGTTCAAACCATTTTTTTTATGATTTTTCATTTAATTTTCAATGCAATGCAAGGGGTCTATTCTATTTTGACTACCACGTCTTTAATTGATGAAAGAGGAGCGGCTTTTGAAGACAATATTCCATCGGAAAATTAAAACCAATTGTTTTATTTTTTATTTTTTTAAATCAAGGGGTCTAGTTCTGCGGCTGTTGATGGTCTGCGGCTGTTGAAGTCAAAAGATCGAATTGGTTTATACATTCACATTTTCATTGAATAAAATCAACAGTGTGCGCGCTGATGCTTCTTGGCAAAATGGGATGTCTAAAAAATCCTAGTTCATTACGATTCACTGAGATATATGATATGATATATGATATGATGTGAAAAAGAGGCACAAATATTTGAAATGGAATATATTAAGGCTCTATCCATTCGAATCTAGATTTCTTTCCGGAATTTGTCGTTTTGTAAAGAATTTACATCCACACCTAACGGAAAGTATTGATCATTTTCAATAATTCCCTTGAGAATTCATAACTAAAAGACCCGAGGCAATGTTGGAGGAATGAACAACTATTGAGAAGTCCAAGTTTTTGAAGTCCCTTCGAGATGGCCGAAATATGCAAATATATGATTTGAAGTGAAGAGGTATAGCTCGCAAAAACACACTTTACTGAGCTTCTTGAATAATTAGGTTACATTCAGTTGATTTATAGCTCGATATTGATTTAGACTAAGTTTGCTTGCGTAAAATTTCAATGACGCATAATTGTTGGTATAGATGAATGTAAATGCAGGTAAATGGGAAAAATGGATGAACTCGGAAACCTGAGAATCATAATCTGAAGTATTTCTTGAATTCGAAACCTGTCTTACCGAGCTAGAAATTCAAAACCTTTATTAAATATATGGAACAGGGGTTGCTAGTCCGTGCAGGCATGACTAAAAACAATAATCATGATCTCGACTCGTGGGTATCCACGGCAGCACCTAGGCTTAGTCACTATTTTTGTGGCTGCAAGTTCCCGGACAGGATCTCAGTACATGTAAAGTCCATTTACTAAAAGCGTGAAACACTAATAACTTGAATCTTTAGTGTTTTGTACAAAATAGTTAACAAATAATCGATATGTGAAGAGCGAGTATGCATATCGTGCCGTAACACTTGCTTTCATAGAGGCGATTTCGTATGACTGGGAAACGGTGATGACGAATCGCGTCCGTACCGTAACCGTATCGTAGCCGTATCGTACTTATCAATTCTGATTTGTTGACAATTTCAATGTTGAATTTTGATTGGACAAGTGTACAATCGTAAGTACAATTTTTGATTGGATAATTACGGCATTTTATTCTAGAACAAATTACCGTATCGTAAGTCTAATCGCTCATTGGGTAAATACGGCGCTCGTTCCGTACCGTACTTTATCCGTATCGTAAGCGTAATTCCTGATTGGCAATTCCCCTTAATTTTTGTTTTGGAAAATTAGCCCATTTTCATTGCAATTATTATTATTTCTTTCGATTAATTAAAGATAGGATCGAATGAATCCGTATCGTAGCCGTACCGTAGTCGTATCACGTCAGCATCAGTTTCCCACTCATACGAAATCGCCTCTAATCATGACACCGAAGACGAAGACACATCTAAGGTTAAAATAAGCCATAGTACAAAACTATGATCATTTTAAAAACCCTCATATTTGTCTAGCATTACAGCAAAATGGAAAAAGTTTTGTTTCTTTTTAGCGAAGCTTACCTTTAAAAGTCACTGTAACGGTCAGGTACTCGCTTTAGACATGACTAGAGTCTAACATGCAACTAAAATGTAGGTATTAGCGGTTTAATGATTGCACGGCAAAAGTGCACGCAAAATAATGCATATCTAATTTAAAAACAAAAACAAAAGTTACATTGGTTGTCCCGTAGAGTCATCACACTTGTACCGTGAAATATGATCAAAATAAACAGTAAATATTAGTGTCTATTTATTGACTAATAGTAGATATTACTGAACCGAACACAGTTCATGAAAACAAAAGGCAATACACAAGAGACTTGACAACTGTCATCAAAAGACACATCTAAAGCTAAAATAACCACACAGTACGCAAGGAAACGCGTTTCACGAATCTTTATTTATTTGCGCTGCTGTGGAATCAAGACACAAGACACATCTAAAGCTAAAATAACCACAAAAGACGCAATAAAACGCGTTTGGAGTCTTTATTGTCTGCGCCGCAGCAAAATTATGACAGAAGACATTTTAAGGCTAAATTGAAATACTGTAACAATAAGGCCTAGTCCGGGACCTAAAATTGCCTAAAATCGCCTAAAATCGCCCAAAATCGCAGTAAATCGCCTTAGATTTTAGATGGGTTTTTGATGATTTTTGCTTAAATCGCCTAAAATCGCTTAAAATCGCCTACAATCGCCCAAAATTACGGCGATTTTAGGTCCCGGACTAGGCCTACAATAGCAAACCCAGTACRCAAATGAACGTGTTATCTAACGAGTTTATTATAAGAGCCTAACCTAAAAATCAAGACAAGACGCACTGAAATGACCCGCAAAAATCTATAAAAGCAACGTGGTTTCGAACGAATTCTATCGCTCAAAGCTGAGTTATTTGACTAGTCAATATAATTAAGCGATTTGACAACAACCAGCGACGACGTTTTAAATTTATCCTTTGCTTGAAGCTMAGAATAAAACACAAGGAATTCATTATTAATCATTTCGGGAATGTTTGTGAGATACGTACCTTTCTAGCATGGGACAATAGTTACCAAATCATTATTTCCAGCAGCACTCGTAACAGTTATAAAGTTAGTTACTATAGCTATCTATTTCACTTTCACCCTATAATCAATAATATAGGGCAATTCTTTTTATGTCCTTTCAATGAACTCGATTTCCATGAAGCCTAGATTTAACACAAGTTCTAGCCCTTCCCGACATCTTTCCTCTGGGTTTAACAAAGAACTAAACTAGCTCTTTATTTCTTTCCTTGTGGGTGGGACATTTTTTAACAAATTCCTCCTTCTTCATTAGGTAGCTTTTAATAACATTGTTTGTCTTCCAAGTCTCTTGTGTATTACCTTTTGTTTTTGAGAATTGTTGTGGTTCAGTGATATCTACTATTTCATACAATGAGTCAGTAAATAAAAACTAATAGTTACTACCTCTTTGATTATGTTTCACGGTACAAGTGTGATGACTCTATCAGTAAGAGTACTCAATTGATCGCTTTTATTCATTCCCATGAGATTTAAAAAAGAAAAGGCCCGGCAGCCATGTTAGAGGACTGAACAATAGTTACTAATGAGAATTCTTTGTTGAATTTCTTCCAAGATGGCCGCTGTGACAAATTAACCTGAAAACGTAAAAGTAGACTAGAGACCACTAGAAGATACTAATAAAAATCCTTTGTTAAAGTACCTCCAAAGATGGCCGCTGTGACAAATTAACCTGAAAACGTAAAAGTAGACTAGAGACCACTAGAAGATACTAATAAAAATCCTTTGTTAAAGTACCTCCAAAGATGGCCGCTGTGACAAATAGTGGAAACGAACAATATTCATACTCAATTCTCATACTCTCTTCGGGTTTCCAAATCGTGCAAAGATCTCAGTGAGTGCAATGAGAGACTAAGACTAACGTACCACAAACACCAACTTGTAGCTTTATAACTCTGTTTTATTCGAACGTTGAGGCACTTCCGCCTTCTTCAACAAACTGAGTATTTTGCAGGCGCCACTCTCTATAAAAACAAACAACTAAGCATTCAACAAACACAGCAACAAAGAAACTAGGGAAACCTAAATGAAACCTAAAAATGCGCGCTCAGAATTAGTTACAACACTGAAAAAAAAAAAAAATTTCAACACTCATCTCACTAAAACTAGTATCGTAAATATATAAATTCATGTTTTTGTATCAAGTATTTGACAAAAAAAACCACCAGATTTGCTAGGATGTGTTCATATTTAATTTCAAATTATCCATTTTGCGGTGTCTCGAGGGTCTTCACCAAGACATTATGGTAGAAACCAACGTCAACCAAAACAAAGCCACAAATAACACCATCAAAAGACAATCTACAAATATCTGTAGCTTTGTTAGCTTCTTAAACCTTAGAAGCAATTGAAACAAGGCAGGGAAAAATATGCTATCTAAACTAGTCGTTGTACCAAAAAGTGCTGTAACCAAAGCAAAATGTGGGCCTACTCCTATTGCCAAAATGAGAACTAATGTGGAAAAAATGAAACGAAGGAGAGCATCGCATATCAGTGGATTGATTTTGTCACAGATTTTTTGATAAAAAGAAAGTTCCTCGATGTTTCTAACAATAACCAGAAATGGAATGGCATACGTCAGCAAAACATTAAAGGTAAAAAATATTGCGACTAGTTTGGAAGTTATTCCTGGAGGTAGATTGTTGAGTACGACTTCTTCTGTGTCACCCCTGAAGGCCAGAAAGCCTGAAAGACCAAA